TTCCCTACAAATGAATATCAGAATGGTTATGGATTCGTCTAATTTTTTTCAAGGATGATCTATGAATTATGTGAATTATGAACAGTTTGGATTGTTGAATAAAGTTACATAGTATGCCTTACAAGGTGAGTGTCAAAATGTTTGTAAAAAAGAGAGTCTTTCCGATCTTTTAACTCTGTATCTTATTAGATATTGATTGTAAACATTATTTAGCTCATCATATGAGACATAAATATAGTACAATGATGTGATCTTCCTAACGTTACCTTCATATATATGGCAAGTTCTATAGCAATCCGTACCCCGCCTATATTTTGATTAAAAATATTATAATTTCATTGAAAACGTTGATAAATAACTTTAATTAGTACATGTTTACTTATAGGAAAAAGAATTGGAATCGTCCTTGAGTTTCATGCTTTTATTAAAATATAAATACAAGAATCATTTTGCATTCTAGCTGTACATGCAGTAAAATGTAAGCTTTCCTTTAAAATTCATAATCTGATACCTAAAAATTAGGAATTAACGTTATTAAACTAAGGGCCAGTCCATTTGATTTTCTTTCCTTATTTTTTTTTTTTTTCCCTATGTTCTACCACCCATTGCTTTCCTCATTTCTATTAGGTAAACATATTGTTTTTGACATTTTTCTACGCATATGAATGCAAGGTCATATGTTTAACTCGCGTAATTGTGAGTTCGGCACGAAGTTATAGCTGACATCTTGTAATCTAGGCAAGATGGTGTCTAAGCTTGAAATGTACGAAGGTGATGCTCGCTAGAGGATGGGTTTTGCAAATCCATGCAAACATAAAGGTCACTATAGCTTTTAGTTTGATTTTAGTGTGGATTTTAGGGTATGTCCTTATGTAGTCGATTTGTTTTGGTGACTCAAGTACATATGCATTTAGATCCGGTGATGGTGTGATTAGTCATTTGATTCATGGAATCGATGTATTTTTTAATTAAATACTATAAGATAATACAAAAGGGGTGTGTGGAGTCATTTGATTCATGGAATTGATGTATTTTTTAATTGAACACTATAAGATAATACAAAAGGGGTGTGTTATCCATACATCTCTTTTTACTTTTCACACATCCTTCTAATTTTTAGTCGTCGGATCGGATAAATTGAAGAAAATTAAATAACAGAAATTAACAAGAGGTGTGTAAAAAGTAAAAATGGATATGTAGATAGCACAACCCAATACAAAATCCAAATATAACTATAAACAACTAAAGCTGTGTCTTTAAAATACACGTTGCGTAATTATTATCTTGAAGCATACCCAAAAAAATAAAAGATGCACAAACAATCAATCCTATATGCAATACGTCTTCCAATGCCAAAACAAGAAGCTAGGCATTTGCCATCGGCAATGTAGGTCTCAGCAAAAAATATTTTCGAAGAAAACCACTTAAACAAATCAATGTGATAGAAAAAAAATGAGAGCCGCACATTACCATCTACTAAAACTCAGTTCCCGTTCACTTGATAGGAGCATATTTATGCGACTTAATTAGCTTGTTTTCTTACATTTACATAGCTAAATTCTATTTATTAGAGTGTTTTAGACTATTTTCACGTGTTTTCAGGTTTAAATGACAAAGTTGGCAAGAAAGTGCAATTTGGAGCATTTTAGAGCAGTTTTGGGCTTGTAATGGATAGTACATGCATGGAGTAAGGTGGATGGACGAATTTGAAGTTCAAGAAGGGCTAGGAATGTGCTTAACATCTAGAAGAATTAAATCAAAGACTTGGAAGATAAGGAATCAGCTAAGAAGAAGGAAACATTATTCAAACAACCTAATCTTATTCAAACCTTATCCAACCTTATCTTATCTTATCCTATCCTAATCTTTTGCTACCTTAATTCCCGCTGCAAGGAGGACATCTAAATGACATTAGGATACCTAAATATCAGGTTTCTAAAAGCCCTATCCCTATGCCTATATCTATGCCGCAAGGACCATTCCTTTTCCTCCCTAGAATCTGATTGAAAGTGTCCTTGTTCTTTGTTGATTTGGAGTCTTAATTCCCCTCTTTCTCAATCATGTCGTGCTTTCGCCTATAAATACTTGTGCCGCAGCAATCAACCATCACACATCTCTCACCACAATTCACAACACACATCCATCAATCACAGAAATCACCCTTGTGTCGCAGCCTTGCAAGGAGAAAGGAGAGGAAACCCTTGGAGCCGTGCCTTGCCATTCAAGCTTGGAGTGCTGGAACATTCTTAGGTGTATTCTATCTTTTGCTTTCAATGTTTAATTTAAGTTATCTTGTTTAAGTGCGAACATGAGGAACTAAACTTGTTTTAGCTAGAGGTGGATTCAAAGCCATGAGCATATGTGTGATATGAATTGATTTCCTCCAGTTATTGTTTCGTAAAACATAAATGCGATTTACTTATCTGTTTGATTGATAACTTATTATTGTATGTTGATTAAGGATGCATACTTAGTTTGCATGCATGAATTTGATGCTAAAATATAAGGAATTTCACCTAATCGTTATGAACTTATATTTATAAGTAGTGGTAGTCACAATCGTGTTAAGTAAATTCATGGCAGGAGTATCATGCAGTTCATAGTTACGAATGTCATGTCAATGCTTATGATTTTCACAAAGCTTAATGATCTTTGATTGTATCTCTATTATGTTGTTCATGTAAGGAACTATTGAAGAATAATTTGGTTGCCAATGCGTTATCCATCCAATTCAATGAAATTAGGAAAATCTGAGAGTTAATTTGTGCAGTTCACGGTTAATTTGGGGCATTGTCATTCATGGTTTATAGGAATAGTAACTAGAAATCGATTTGTGTTGCATATTTGTCATGTGTGGAGATGAACCCTCTAGCTAGCCATTCACCCATTTAAACACCCAATTTCGTCCAAATTGTGTAGAGTCTTTAAATCTGTTTGTTTTTACTTTAATTTCGTCAAAACCAATCCCCCCCCTCTTTAATATTTCGTGTCTTTTAGTTAGTATATGTTTAAATTTGGTTCTTTTTAGTGTTTTGAGTCAACATAAGTTAGAATTCGTTCAAAATCATCTTTTAGTTCTTGTTTTGAGTTAATTTGTTTGTTTTGTGTTGTTTTAAGTTATTCTGTTTGTTTTGAGTTATTAGAGTCTAGTTTAGTGTAATTGAGTCTAATTTAAGTAGATTAGCAATCCCTCCTAATCCCCAACCTATAACGATCTCTACTTATACATACTACAACTACATAAAGAGGGTTTAATTTGTGTGTTAGTTTGTATCACATCACCACTGTTCATCATGTGATAGGGCTTACAGTTCACCGGCAGTGAACTCCCCAAGCTGCCCTCCCAGTACTTCCTTCCCGGTTCTTTTCTCCCTCTTTGCTGCAGTAAAATGACCTTCCTGCCCTCGAGGCCAGCGTTTTCTTTTTTTTTTTTTTTCCAGCCAAATTGTCTCCACGTGTTGATCATCGCATCGGCTTCTCCATTGGGTAGGTGTTTGGCCTTCTTGTTGCTTTTTCGTTTTTGTCTCTCCCATTTCTCTTTGTTGTCATTTTCTACCGTTTCTTTCTTTCGTAGACTGCCGTTGCTTTCTTTGGTTTGAGACACGTTTTCTTTCCATTTCCCGACCATTCGTCTTTGTGCAGGTTGGAGATTAAGAGGTTGTTTGTTGCTGAGAAACCATGGTTCGGTCGTGCTAGATCTTTTTTGCTCCCGGGACGCATCGTGTTCGGTCTTGGTGGATCTCTTTTGCTGGGGCGACACATCGTTGCCTGCAAAATTTTGGGTGTATTTTAACGTAGCTCTTTGTATTTTTCTATTCTGGTTTTAGATGCATGTGTTTCTGCGGTTAAGTTAAGATCATCTGTTAAGTGAGATCTGAATTTGAAATAATTTTTTTATGCAGAAGTTTATCTGCTCAACCATGGAAACCATTGGCCACAAACTACGTTTTATGTGTTTTTTTCATCGTTTCGTCTATAGTTAAGATTTATGCTTTGATTTTATTCTTAAAATGGATGTTTCGATTTCGTTTGCGTATGTGTATTTATAGCCAGCTTTTGTTATAATTGTCTGTCGATCATTAATTTTAGTTTTCTTTTTTCATTTTTTGATTCCTTTTTTAGAAGGTATACGGTTTTGAAAAGAACATGATGAGTGTTTTTAGTTCATGAAAAAAAGGTGGTATAAATTAGTTGGGTAATTTGTCAGTGTTTAAGTTTTGGTTTTGTTTTCTTAATCCTTGGTTGGTTTGTTTTAGAGATTTTGTTATGTGGTTCAAAAGAAGATGAAGGGTGTCTTTGATTCTTCAGAAAATGGGTAATGCAGTGAAGTCAGTCAATTATTTGGATAAATAAACTTCATGCATTGCAGTGGGATAATTCAATTTTATGTTTATGTGTCTATGCATTTAAACTCAGTGTTTATTACAATTATATTAAAATGGTTCAATGTTCTCAAGTTTTCCTAATATTAAAATTGCTTCCTGTTATTTGGTGGCAAGTTTTTCTAAATGATGAACATGAACATATTGCCTGTGATAATTTCTGTGGTAAAAAAAAGTATGGTCTTCGTTATATTTTTTATGTTCATAGTTTTGTTCTTTCTAATTGTGAGTGCAATCCATTTTCATAATTTAAGACTAAATTAACAAAGTTTATTCGATCAATGTTCATATAGCTTAGGAAGTAATTAAAGGACCTTAGTAATTTAATTTGCTATCTGAATGTTTTTAATTTCTGAGAAAAAAATATTGCACTACAAATCATGTTATTATGCAATTCATGTGTGGAACAACATTTGTAGTTCCGACGCTTGTATTAGGTAGATTTTTTGGAACGGTTTTATTTAAAAGTAATAAGCAACTGAACAAATTATTGTTTTCTTTGGATATTCAGTTTTAATTTTTACTGTGTAATGCCTCGCTTAATGTTTGGTATTTACGTGCGCAATCATGTGAGCCAAGTTAATGCACTATCATCGTTTGGATCACATTTGTACCCGTCTTTGTTTTCCTTTTTTATTGATGAATTGCAAAGCAAGATGCAATTGAAGCCTGCTCAACAGATATGGACCATGAAGTCTTAGCGTCGAAAGTCCAGGTTGGGAATTGCTATGAGATTACAAATTTTCGCATCAATAGAAGGGCGAATACAGAGTGGTGCCAAATGACAGCCAAATTGTGTTCACGCACAAAACAGTTTTCAAGAGAATTACAAATGAGTTTCCATGCATTCTTCGCCACAGATTTTTCTTACAAGACTACAATATGCTTCATCCTCGGTTGGATCGTGTTGATATACTGACAGGTAATACTATATATATATATATATATATATATATATATATATAATTGTAAAAACATTAGTGTTTGTGTCATTCAACTGTTTCTAATCATCTTATCACATTTGCTTGTTAAATTACAAGATGTGGTGGGTCATATGAAAGGAATGCAACACTTAGAACCAAAATAGGCCAATGAAAGAGTTGTGCACAAATGTGACATCGTGCTTGAAAATCTGAGGTAATTTTTTTCATTTAGTTTTCATTCCATTCACTCCGTAAAAAATTAAAATATCATCTAATAATTTTATGTCCTTTGATAATTATATAACTGTTTAACTATGACTGCATATTTTGTCAGCCAAATTTTGAAAAATCTTTTAATTGAGTGGTAAAATTCTTTTTCGAATTGGACTTTGATGCAGAAAAGAAGAGGCAAAACTTACGCTGTGGGGAGATGTTGCAAAGAATTTTTCTTCTCTGTCGCTAGAAGCTTTGTCCCCGCCAGTTATTGCTGTTTTTACAAGTTTAAAAGTGAAGTTGTACCAGGGGTATTTAATTTAACAAAATAATTATCAGTTTTACATCCTTCTCTAATAAATTTATTATACAGTTTGTCTTAAATGTTACCATTTTATTTAATTTGAATATTGCTATTCTTTCATTACATAGATACACATGCATTGTTAATTACAACATTTGCTTATACTTGCATCTGTTATCATACGAGTTAATAAATTATCATTTCCTTTTGGTACTGCTTTTTAAAAATTTGTAAAAATTAACTCAATTTGTCTTACATTGAGGTATTTAAATTATATTGATTGATTTTTTTTTTTTTTGTTAATTGTTGGTTTTCAAAATGATTGTTGTTTTCTTCGTGTGCAGACAGTGTTATCTTAAACAACACTGGTTCCTCACTTTTCTTCATTGACCCAGACATTACAGAAATAAACTCATACAAATCAGTGTGAGCATATTTAATGATGTTAAAACATACTGAATATGTGTTTAATATTTTTGGAATGCAAAAATTTTTGTTTCTGCAATATCATCGAGACAAAGTTGCATATTAGATGTTGCAGGTTTTCCAGTTCGGCAGATTCTCTTAGGATATTGCCCTCCTCTTCAAATGAAGTAAATGAAGCCGAAATCTTGCAGGCCATGAAAAAAATGACAATTGATAAGTTGGGTTTTTTGGATCCAGATTTACACAGGTATACAAACTAATCACATGTTATTTTCTTTGGCTAAAATTTTGTCATTGGATTCTTGCATTTTTAACAAAACATATGTATCATGAACATCACTGATGCAAATGTTGGTTAAAATATTTTCTAGGATGATACATTTTTGTGTGAAGCATCTGTCATACGCTTTGACACGTCACAACTGGTGGTACAGTGCTTGCCCAACTTGTGTCAAGCAAATGCATAAGGATCCAAATGGACGGTTAACTTGCCACAAACACCCAAATCAAATTCCAACTCCTAGGTATTTTCTTCTTTGTCTTAAAATAATGAGTTTGGGTATTGATGCGTTACAAATGTGACACACAAATTAAACCTTATTTGTGACAATTGTAGTAATGATGTAAGTAGGGATCGTTCTAACCAGGGATTAACTAGGAGTGCTAAACACTTGATTCAAATAAATAAAACTAACCTTTAAAACACTTAACTCACTTAACAAAAACTCAAAACAAGTCCACAAGACTCCAAATACTTAAAAACACAAAATAAGATAGATTGTAATGACTAAGACTTGACCAAATATGGGAGGATTGAGGTTTTGACGAAATTAAACTAAAATGCACAGATTGCAATTAAGGGCAGAATGTAAATATGAATGTGATGAAAATATGGATGAGTGCTAGCTAGAAGGTTCTTCTCCACACATGTTACACTTGCATACAAGATGATTTTCGGTTGGTCTTTCGATGAATTATGAAACTCAACACCCCGGGTTAATTAGGTCCGCTTAAATTAACCGTCAAGTTCTCCTTAAGTTAATGAATTGGATGATTGCATACGACAACCCAAAGCATTCCCCACAAGTTCCCTATATGAATTGCATAATAGAGATACAAGTAAGAATCATTAAGTTCTTTGAAAACCATAAGCATTGACGAAACACTCGTTACTATGAATTGCATGAAACTTATGCCAATAATTTACTTAACGCGATTGTTTATAAGCAACCTCCACTACTTGTGAATATAAGTTCATAACTATTAGGTGAAACTCACTTATATTCTAGCGTCATATTCATGCATGAAAATTAAGCGTGCACTCTCAATAAACATACATAAATAGGTTATCAATCAAACAGTTAAACAAATTGAATCCACAACTCATGAAATTCCAACCAAAGGTAATCAATTCATATTGCAAGCATAAACATGGTTTCGAATCACCCTCTAGCTAATGGGAGGTTTAGTTCCTCATACGTACAAGACAAAGATAAGTAAATTTAACCATTGAAATCAAGGAAAGGAAACACCTAAACATTTCAACAACTCAAACTTGAATTGTATGAACGTTTAGGCCCTCTTCTCTTCCTCTTTGTTGCGGCACAAGGTCTAAGGATAGGTTTTGGGGTGGTATTTGTATGTGAAATGGAGTGGGGAATGGTTGGGTAGTGTTTTGGAGGGATGGGGAGTAGTGGAAATGGAAGAGGAGATGCTGGAAATGGAAGGGGAAGCCACGGCCAGGATGGGGGAAAATGTGGAAAATGGAATGAACTGCACGGCTTCAGGATTGTTCCATTGGTGTGAAGTGTGTATGGTTTTTATAGGGAGAGAATGGATGGGAGAGCATGTGAATGACAGCTAGGAGGGAATGATTAAAGGGGGAATGCATGTGGAAGTGTGGCTGATTGTTTTATGAAGGGGGAAAGCTAGAAATGGGATGGGAGTGCACGGCACACCAAGGATGTGCTGGAAATGAATGTGAAAAGCTGGAAAAGGAAGGGTAGGCCACGACAATGGTGAGGGCATGTGCTGATGGTTTATGGGAGAATGATATTGAAATGGGAAAACATGTGGCTACCAACTAGGATGAATGATTGAAGAGTGAATGGAATAGGAATGTGTTTTAAAGCTGAAATTAGGTAAGGATTTAGGCTACCATGTGCAGCAAGGAACAAGGGATCCATAGGTAGGTGCGGCAACCTCTATGGCAGGTTCTAGGATTTCTAGAAACATGTTATCTAGCAACCTAACATGTTTTGGAACCCCTTTTTTTAGCTGCAACATAGGTGAGGTAGGATTAGGAAACTTCTAAGCCAAGAATAGACACTTTCAAATTTAGAAACTTTGGTTTCCAATTCTGAACTCTTTGTTCTTCATTTTCATTTCTTCATCTCTTTATTCATTCCTAGCCTCCTTTGGTCTTCAATTTCGTTCATCTACTTGGCTTCAAGCATGTGCAATCCATTTAATGCCCAAAACTACTCCAAAATGCACTTTCTTACTCCTTTAGCCATTTGGACCTACAAACACACGAAAATAGCTTAAAGTACTAAAATTACTAAGTACTAGCAACGTAAATGCAAGAAAACAAACAAACTAAGGCGCATAAATATGCTCCTATCAAATTCTCCCACACTTAGATTTTGCTAGTCCTCGAGCAAAACAGAAATACAAAACAAAACCTAAACCTTCCAAAAATGGTCTCAGGGATTCTTAATGCACATGACATGTTCAAGAACATTACTCACATAGATTTTAGTCATCCTTATGCTTAGGCACATATGTAATCATAATCACTCCTTACTAGTTCTCATTTAATCAATTTAAAACAACATTTGAATGTAGTAACATGCCTTAGAGAAATCACTTAATTCCTTACAAGATACTCTCTTATTTTCACACAGACTTTCTGATTACACACCCTACACTAAGTATATGTGAGAAGATTGATGTAAATATGAAACTAAACACTCACATATGTTTATAACAAGGAAAGCACTTTTCTGGAATGTATATGAATAAGATCTCATGAAAGGAATGCTACCAATTAGATGCGAGAACCAGGGACATCATATGCTTACATCAATTCCAAACTTCACATTATTGACAACATAATGATCAAGATTGAAGCATAAGGATTGTAACGGGGTAAGGGTGATTGGCTAACAATGAAAGGTAAGGATAACAAACGTTCTTTAAGCAATAGCAAGCAAAGTAATGAAATTTTACACTTAGAATCACTTATGATAGCAGAAACTCACTTAGACACAGAAGGGGAAAATTCACACAACTCTTAAGGCCATATTCAACGTTTTGGACCCTATCTTCAACTACCACAAACATGTGAGCTTATTTTCACTTATTTCATCTCTTTTTCTTTCTTTTCACAACTTTTTCTTTTCTTTTTCTTTTTCCACGAATATTTTTTTTTTCATGCCTTATTTCTTTTCGTGGTATATCAACACACACACACAAAAATTCCCCCACACTTGTTTTGCATATTCGAAAGGATTCCCTCTAAGTCATGCTTACTATGCTTCAAGAACAAGGGTATGGGTAGGTCCTAATCTAGGCTAGGTGGGGATGATATAGGTAAACAAAGAACAAAGGCTAACAATGGCTCAATGGGGGTTATGACCTACAATAAATATATAGTGCATGGGTTGGCTGTTTGGTTGATGGCTTCACTACACACTTCATCTTGATATTTATCATGCAATCATGCTTTGACTGGAATGGATGCAAGTTCTAGCATTTGGAACTAAATGATGAAACGCCTTCTAATTAGCAACCAAGCAAGAATAATGAGATCATGCAATGAGTTTGAAAACAAGAATCACAGATTAATACTCTCCAAAGAATGTTTAAAGCTCAAGTCTCTCAGGGTTGTAATGTTTGTTTGAGTTCCTTCCTTCAAGCATGTTACAAAAACTAATTTTTCTTTTAGGATTGCATGTGAAGTCATACATTATAATCATAACCAAGCATATACCAAGAGTATATCAAACTTTTCTCTATGTTTATAACTCTTTCTTAACAGTCATGCAATTAAAAATCAAATTCTCATAATTGTGTTAGAAGGTACCCTAAGACACAAACACACAAAAACGACTCAAAACACTCTTTTTAAGTTTTTCAAAACATGTTTTTCAAATTTTTATGTGATTTTCGGAGTTATAAAACAAAACACACTAAAACACTCCAAATCAGCTTAAAAACACTTTTAAAAACAGTAAGGAACAACATTGGAAGTTATGGATGATAAAATCCCACGAATTTGCCTCAACATACTTAGTTACCCCCCCTCCCAACACACTTCAATCAAACATTGTCCTCAATGTTTTAAGCTTAAAACCACACTAAACACAAGCAAACACAAAAACAGCAACTAAACTCATTAAACATGGCAGAATGTAAATAACAAAGAGAAGAGGTTTATGGACGCAAATCTGGTTATGGAGTGTAAATTCCTTCTTCTCCTTGGTGATTGCATTGAGGCTTGATCTTGAGTTTGACTGGAAGATTTTCTGGTTTCCTCCAATCGTTGATTTTTCACAAGCTAATCTTGAACTGGGATGGAGGATTCTGACACATGGCAGGCAAGCACGAGGTGGATGTAATGACCTGTTTCTTTGTTTAATATTTCCAATTCGTATTGAAGAGGGTTAGAGGATAACTCAACATATGCAGTTGTTGCGTTTGCTGACTATCCACAAGATTGATGTTTTATTGTCACTCGTCTTAGCTGTTCTCCAAGTAGATGTGGTCCCTTCTCTGGAAGTGTATTAACCATTGAAGATGACTACTCGAGAGCAACGCTAGGTAAGCAACCAGGGAATAGATTCCAGGTAGTCGGTTCCAGATCGGAAGACTGACTCCAAGTGCCGGCTGATTGCTCTCTTTCACTTTGCCATGCGAGTAAGAACAAGGACAAAGGAAAAGACAGGGACAGAGCATGATATGAGATACCTTTGCTTTTGCCCTTGATGATATGAGATACTTTTGCTTTTGAAGAAGCAGCGAATGAATCAGCACATATATTTGTTGCGCTTGTCTCCACATACTTCGATCTACCTTTTCCTCCTGCCTCATCTGTACTCCAGGCATCTGGTATCTTCTTTGGGGGTACATCACTGGTTGAATAGGTGTTCTCAAGAGAAGAAAAAAACTGAGCATGTTGAGAGGTTTGTTTGCAGCTACATTCTCGGCCGAGAAGAAAAGTCATGCGTTTTTGGATGTATGCCTTGCCATGAATGTTGACGTATATAGGAATTGTAATGGCAAGTAGTAGTGCGGATGTGGCAATGACCTCCACGCGTTTTCAACTTTGTCAGAGATCTTTTGACAAAGTTGCACACTTTATCTGAAAAGCCGAGATTGCGGCTTTGTCACCCACGCTTGTCGGCAAAAGTGTGTAGTTGGGATAATGACCTCTACGCATTTTCAACTTTGTCAGAGATCTTTTGACAAAGTTGCACGCTTTATCTGAAAAGCCGAGATTGTGTCTGAAGAGTTGGCGAACTTTATGCAGGAAAATCCGGCTTTGAAGAGTGGTGTCTCTTCAATTTTGAATCGGTGGTTGTGTCGCCTCTCCTTTTATAGAGGTATCGATCACCTCTAACATACACACTTTGAAGATTGCCCATTCGTGAAAATCGTCTCCGGCCCTTTGAGATTTTACTCCATCCAACCCTTCTCTTTTAACATCTTTGAAAATGGCTAACCCATGTAACATTTGCTTAGATTTGAGTCTCAGCAGTGATCCGGTTGCGCCGCGTCAAGGTAATGTATGATGCCCGTCTTTCTTATCTTCTAATGGCCCTCTTACAGGTGAAGACTCCGTGATGACGGATGCAACAACAGCTACGATAGTAGCTAGGAACCTCCTCGCTCCTAAAAATAGTAGGCTGCTTTCAGGACGGTCCGATGAGTTGGCCGTTCAAGAGTCCCTAGCTCTCAGTGTTCAGTGTGCGGGCTCTGTGTCCAACATGGGCCAACGCCTACTTGCTCGATCCCGTCAAGTTGAATCATTGATGGCGGAGGTGGAAAATCTTAAGCAAGAGATCAAACAGCTTAAGCACGAGAATAGAAGTTTGCACGTGCTTGCAAATAACTATTCGACAAGCATGAAGAAGAAGCTTGATCAGCTGCAAGAATCTGAAGGTCGAATTCAAAGTGACCGTCAAAGGCTTGCGGCTTTCTTCCAGAGACACCTTTTTCCTGCGTCATCTAGCGTTCTACCAAGTATTGAGGTCTCGAATGATCTATCTTCGACGCCTCCCGCTCCGATGCCTTCCGTTCCTAGAGTTTTGCCACGTAGTGGGGCTTCACGTAAACAACCTTTGTGAAGACTCCATCTTTTTTTTTTTTTTTTTTTTTTACGCACTTGTAATTTCTCGGAGATCAATGAACATACTTTGTTTTATTCAGTGTATTGGGTTGCCTCCCAAGTAGCGCTCTTTTACGTCTTGCAGCATGCAATGGGATCTCCTCCACAACATGCTCAATAAAGTTCTCGTAGTACGGCTCACTTGAATTGTGACCTCATACGTACAAGACAAATATAAGTAAATTTAACCATTGAAATCAAGGAAAGGAAACACCTAAAAATTCCAACAACTCAAACTTGAATTGTATGAACGTTTAGGCCCTCTTCTCTTCCTCTTTGTTGCGGCACAAGGTCTAAGGATAGGTTTTGGGGTGGTATTTGTATGTGGAATGGAGTGGGGAATGGTTGTGTAGTATTTTGGAGGGATGGGGAGTGATGGAAATGGAAGAGAAGATGCTGGAAATGGAAGGGGAAGCCACGGCCAGAATGGGGGAAAATGTGGAAAATGGAATGAATTGCACGGCTTCAGGATTGTTCCATTGGTGTGAAGTGTGTATGGTTTTTATAGGGAGATAATGGATGGGAGAGCATGTGAATGACAGCTAGGAGGGAATGATTAAAGGGGGAATGCATGTGGAAGTGTGGCTGATTGTTTTATGAAGGGGGAAAGCTAGAAATGGGATGGGAGTGCACGACACACCAAGGATGTGCTGGAAATGAATGTGAAAAGCTGGAAAAGGAAGGGTAGGCCACGACAATGGTGAGGGCATGTGCTGATGGTTTATGGGAGAATGATATTGAAATGGGAAAACATGTGGCTGCCAACTAGGATGAATGATTGAAGAGTGAATGGAATAGGAATGTGTTTTAAAGCTGAAATTAGGTAAGGATTTAGGCTACCATGTGCAGCAAGGAACAAGGGATCCATAGGTAGGTGCGGCAACCTCTATGGCAGGTTCTAGGATTTCTAGAAACATGTTATTTAGCAACCTAACATGTTTTGGAACCCCTTTTTTTAGCTGCAACATAGGTGAGGTAGGATTAGGAAACTTCTAAGCCAAGAATAGACACTTTCAAATTTAGAAACTTTGGTTTCCAATTCTGAAGTCTTTGTTCTTCATTTTCATTTCTTCATCTCTTTATTCATTCCTAGCCTCCTTTGGTCTTCAATTTCGTCCATCTACTTGGCTTCAAGCATGTGCAATCCATTTAATGCCCAAAACTACTCCAAAATGCACTTTCTTGCTCCTTTAGCCATTTGAACCTACAAACACACAAAAATAGCTTAAAGTACTAAATTACTAAGTACTAGCAACGTAAATGCAAGAAAACAAACAAACTAAGGCGCATAAATATGCTCCTATCAAATGATGGAGCCTTCACAAAGATTGTTTACGTGAAGCCCCAAATGATGGAGCCTTCACAAAGATTGTTTACGTGAAGCCCCACTACGTAGCAAAACTCTAGGAGCGGGAGGCATCGAAGATAGATCATTCGAGGCCTCAATACTTGGTGGAACGCTAGATGACGCAGGAAAAAGGTGCCTCTGGAAGAAAGCCGCAAGCCTTTGACGGTCACTTTGAATTCGACCTTCAGATTCTTGCAGCTGATCAAGCTTCCTCTTCATGCTTGTCGAATAGTTATTTGCAAGCACGTGCAAACCTCTATTCTCGTGCTTAAGCTGTTTGATCTCTTGCTTAAGATTTTCCACCTCCGCCATCAATGATTCAACTTGACGGGATCTAGCAAGTAGGCGTTGGCCCATGTTGGACACAGAGCTCGCACACTGAACACTGAGAGCTAGGGACTCTTGAACGGCCAACTCATCGGACCGTCCTGAAAGCAGCCTACTATCTTTAGGAGTGAGGAGGTTCCTAGCTACTATCGTAGCTGTTGTTGCATCCGTCATCACGGAGTCTTCACCTGTAAGAGGGCCATTAGAAGATAAGAAAGACGGGCACCATACATTACCTTGACGCGGCGCAACCGGATCACTGCTGAGACTCAAATCTAAGCAAATGTTAGATGGGTTAGCCATTTTCAAAAATGTTAAAAGAGAAGGGTTGGATGGAGTAAAATCTCAAAGGGCCGGAGACGATTTTCACGAATGGGCAATCTTCAAAGTGTGCATGTTAGAGGTGATCGATACCTCTATAAAAGGAGAGGTGACATAACCACCGATTCAAATTGAAAAGACACCACTTTTCAAAGCTGGATTTTCCTGCGTAAAGTTCGCCAACTCTTCAGACACAATCTCGGCTTTTCAGATAAAGCGTGCAACTTTGTCAAAAGATCTCTGACAAAGTTGAAAACGCGTAGAGGTCATTATCCCAACTACACACTTTTGCCGACAAACGTGGATGACAAAGCGGCAATCTCGGCTTTTCAGATAAAGCGTGCAACTTTGTCAGGTATTAATAATTTTACTAATCCCTCACCTCTAAACTATATGTCCAGCAAATTTAGCACTTCTGTTTTTGTTCGTCAACTGCATTATCTATTTTTCTTGCCGCTATAAACTGAATTACAACATCTAACTTTCATTTTCAAACATAGGTACAAGGTACCTTGGTTTTTCAGGATGAAACTAATGAAATCAGTGCTTTAATAACTAATTCCTCACCTGTGAACCATATATATGGCAAATTTACCACTTCACGTACTATGTACAAAACATATATTTCCATTTACTTTAATCAATGATGTCTTTCTGATCAAATAAATCAATTATGAATAATGTTTATGTTCATTAACTGCATTGTCAATTTTTCTTGCTATTGTAAATTGAATTACAGCAACTAATTTTCATTTATAAACATACGTACAAGGTAACCTTGGTTCTTCAGGATGAAACTGATGAAATCAATGCTGTGATCATTGGTAAATGCGGAAAAAAATTATTTGGTACAAGCTGCAAAAATTTGGTCTTCAATCCGAGACGAGGGGATCAACAGCAGTTGCCAAATGAATTTTTAAGACTGATAGGCCAGAAAAAAACTTTCCACCTCCGATTCAGCAGGCTCAAAAATTACATGAACTCCAATGATCTTCTCATCCACAATGTCTCTGAAGATGTGTCCATGCAACCAACAACCCCGCTGCCTCTTTTCAGACAAGTGGCAATGTCTTCCACTACAGTATCATCATCTACCTCAACCTCAGATGCAAGTGCCCAATCATATAAAAGAAAGAGGGAATCAGTCAGTATATCGCTTTTTATCGATGCCAAGAAAAGGTAATACATTGGTGAACAACTATCTTAGCCATCTTTAAATTATTATTATTTTCTATTATGCATCCCTATTTTTCAATGTTTGCCCTGCTTTTTAACAGTGATATGGAAGAAATTTCAAAACCCAGTGTCCAAGATTTTGATGAAGTTCCTATCAAGTTATTGAAAAGGTCTTTTCCAACCAGTTCAGGAAAGAACATCTCTCCACCAAAAAAATATTAGGTGACCATCTGTCTTTGTGATATTTTCCAGATTTTAATTTTATTCTTGCATAATTCTAACATCTGTTTTGATTTTTTACTTTTTTTTTCCTTTCCCTGGATTGCTTTCTCAACAGTCAAGAGGGTTTGATGCAAATGCTTCATGTTTTGCTGAAGAAAAACAAGGCATAATGTGCATGCTTCATGTTCTGCTTAAGAGAAGCAAGACATAGTTATTATGGATTTTAATAAATCCAGACAATGTTTCTCTATATCTTTTGCCAACTGAACAGCACAACATGGCCTAAATGCCTTAATATTTTTTGCATGTGAATAGCACAACGTTGCTAATGTTTTTGGCATGTAAGTAACACAATGTTGCCAATATATTTTGAATGTAAATAGCACACAACTCTGTAATATTTTCTGAGCAACTATTGCAGCCAGTGTAAAGCTACAAACCACTGAATTCAAATGTCTGGCCGCATCATTTTTTGCATGTAAATAGCAGCATACCAGGAGCTATTAACCCAGAGTCCATATCCTATGTTGCACTCTTGTTTTACAAGAAAATTTTCACAAATTTTATCTGTTGGAACAATTTTTCAAACATTTCCAATTTAAACAGTTTTAGTTTTTTTCTCCAATCATTTTTACGTTGTTTGAACAAAACATTTGACACAATTTTAATACCTGCAGCAATGCGCGGGCAATATAATCTAGTGTTTTACTACAACCTAATTTTAAGACCATCATTAGTCCAATCCGCATTCAGAATCTTCAAAACCTCTTCTCCAAAAATTTTGTAGATAATTATGAACCAGAACACGTCAAACTGTTAAACAACCTTTTGTCACAAATGTTGCCATGGTCTTTCTAGGGAAGATTCTCTCCGGATCTATACATTTGAGCTAAGGGATCAAATAATTTGGGCTTTTTGAAACTTGATCCTACGGCAAAAAACTATTATAGTTTTAAAAGTTTTTACTAACTTTTCTGTTTTTACTCGTTGGATCAAATTTTAAATGTCGGGATTATTTGATCCCTGGACTTCGAATGTATAGGCCCGGAGAAGATCTCTTCCCATCTTTCCATAATCTAGACAAATAAAATATATTGTTTATTACTTTGAATCAGTTTGAATTTTGAAATTTGTATGCGTCTACTACATAGATTTCGAAATGTAAACTCATTCAATAGTAAAAAATAAAGTAGTGAATATTATCACTGAAAATGCTGAGAAAAATATTTCCCCAAAATTTAAACCCAACACTTAATTTTGTCGTGAGAGTAAGCCAACTTGTGTTGAAATAAACAAAGAGAACTGAAAATGTTATTGAAAAGGATGCAACTCTTAAAAACTCACGACACTGAATTAAAGATATAAATGGAAAACAAAATTAGATGCCAAGGGAAAAACAAAATGATCCACAATCCCTCTCATTCATCCATTTCCTTCAAACGTGACTTTACATAATTTCCAAAAATTTCGAGTAAACGTGATTGACCATGGATGAGGAGATATGCTACATGGGCTTCATGGGCTTCATGGGTTATGGCTACACCTAACAATTTTTTACACAATTTGTTAATCTGACCCGAAAAGATATGAAATTAGCAAGTTTGGAATTGGCACGATAACGAGTCGGGTCATTATCGAGTAACCTGATAAGTACCTGTTAAGATAACGTACCGGTCCATGTACACTTGTAGGTAACCTGAAACACAGTAAGAAAACATTAATTTAATAATTTTATACCACTAAAAATTATAAACAAAGCTTCATGGTTAATTGGAGGTCCTTATTCCACCTGCAGTTTGTGAATTGGACTTACACAAAGCTTCATGGTGTGGATTTAGTCGAATTTACACATGTTAGTGACATATTGAATGTTCCATTTTATGAGTACTTGGAAAAAATTTCTCATCTTGATAGTTCAAATACTTCAATAAATTCGGTGCCTAATCATCAAACAGAAGTTGGAAACCTTTCAAAAGTTTGAGACTTGAGAAGATAAGATAACTCAAGTTTAATGATTTTCTTTGAGACAATGTTGTAGTCTTATTTCATTAGTAAACGAAAATACATTGTACAAACTGACAATTCTATTTCATTAAGCTCGCTATTATAAACAAATAAGTTTCAAAATTAATAAGATAGTCAGTTTGTACAATGTATTGTATATCTCTATATACAAAAGGACTACGCCAAAATAGTGAAACATTTGAATATCCCTAAAATGCCATCACTTGATAAGGATGAACAACCCATAACTACCCAAATAAAATGCCGTCAAAATCGTAATATAGAAATATAGCCCTGATGTTATCACAAATTAAAATACAAAATTCTAACAAAAAAAATCAGTTTCACGGTTTCACCCCACGCAGCTGGTTCTTTGAGTCAAACACCACTCCTCCCTTTTCAACCTTTGGCCAGGAAGTACCCTTCCATTTTCTTCCACACGTTTCATTTTTTATTTATTTTTAGTTGTCCACTAGATTCTTCTATTGGTACTCAATTCTGCGATTAGATGCGGCTCTCATTCCATTTCATTTAAAGAGAAGGCATGCAAGTTCAAGAAAACCCAACTTTCCTTTTCCTTCTGCCATTGTTTTGATTACTTTGTTCTCCATTCTGTTTGCAGGGGTTTTGCTTACTTTCAAATTTCAATTAGTTTTAATTTGGTCTATTTGATGGACCGACTAACCGTGTTGTAACGAATTTGTAAGTTGATGTATGGCATAGCAATTTTCAAAAGACAAGGTATGAGTTTGTTCTGTGACCTAAATTGTGGTGGTTTTGTGCAACTTACCTTTTTTTTTAAGGAAAACTAATGAAAATGGCTTGGAAACTTTGAGTTTTAATGATAAGGACAAAATAAAAGTAAAGTGAATAATACAGGTTTGATTTTTTAGTGTAAAAATGTGGTTTTTCGTTAAAATGAACAGTACCGTGGGCTTTTCGTTAAAACTCTTTTTTTTTTTTTTTTTTAAGCTGAAGTTCATTATAATACTGTAGCATGCATGTGGTTCTATTAAATCTTATTTCTCCGTTTTTCCTTACGATTTTTCATTCAATAAAACCCAAAACACACTCACACAAAGGGGATAAAATCCTAGGCTTCTTAGGGGTTTCTAATGTCACTTTAAATTCCATTTAAATAAGACAAACAAGAACCCAAGAATACTAATCCTAGAATTGGCTGAACACCCCTTCAACCATGGCTCTAAATTTACTTCAAAATGCTCATTTGAAGTACATCTACAACTCTTGAGATTACAAATTTTGACAAAATCTCACGTGAGAAATTAATAAAGCTTGCATTTTTAATTTGTTTGTGTGTGATTATTCATTAGTTGGTTTGATTGAGTGGTTATATATAAATTTTTTAGCGATGACGTGCTAATGGCATTCCGGAGCTGATTATCTGACAAATTTTGTAGCAAAATAATTCCAATGGTGCTGCTTGGTGGATTTTGCATATTGTTACGGCTTCTTGCGACCTCATCATCTGTATTCTCTGTGCTTCTGTTTTGTGCTGACGGGTAGAGCTGCCATGCTAGGTGCGATAATGGTTACGTGAAGTTCCCAAGGCTCCATGTAAAGGTAGAGTTGGTGTCAAGTTTAATGCATGTTTTCTATTTCACATAAATGATAGAAGTCCTAATTACTCAATCCTCTCATCCATGTTTATTGTTTTACATTCAATTATTTGCTGATGCCTGTAGGTGTATATAGGTTATATTGATTGTTAAGATAGAAATTTTATCACTTTTTGTTGAATTTTTTAGGTCGATAGACTGAGGGTCCCCACTCCAACAACACACCTCCCCCGGACGTGGGATCCAATTAGTAGGTCACACGTGTGGGAGTCAAGTCGGGGCTCACCCAACACGCCGGGCCAACGGGGATCCACCCAATCACGTGGCAACATTGGTCTACGTGGAGCCAAATTGGGACTCACCCATCACACGAGATCAAAGGGGACCCACCCAATCACGTGGCAATACGAGCCCGTCCCTTAGCTCTAATACCATGTTAAATTTTTCTGGTCAACAAGCCAAGGGCCCCCACTCCAACAACACTTTTCAAAATCCAATATGTCCATCTCCAAGACTAGGATTTTTATTTACTTGAAATGAATAGATTCTAGGCGTTTTATTATAGTGCCAACGCTATCTCAGTATAACAGAAGTAGAACAAAAGTGTTTTTAGTCGATTACTTGCGCCCCAAGTTACTTGGGCTTCTTGTTATCAAAGGATTGTCGTGGATGGGTTAAGTCCACATTAAGTTCTTTTTCTTGCCTTGTAAACAAGGACTTTTAGTTCATAGTCTTGTATGTTCAAATGAAGGGAGTCCAGGCACCTTTAAGGCATTTACGTGGTTCTTGATTGATTTTATTGATAACATATCCATTAAACTAACCAGATCTAGATGCACATGGAGCTCTTAAGATAGGAAAATTGATGGAAATAACTTGAATACATATTGGAGAATGCATTAAGTGGTAGATCTACAAATTTAGAAAACAAACAAAGAGCGTCGGGCAAGATTTCACCTTGTCTGTCAAGGTTAAACCTCTTGGTCACTTCTCTTTGAATTAATAGGGGTTTATATGCTAAAAAGGGATGGTTGGTAAACAAGTTTACACAAGGGAATCGATACTACACTACTAAGGGAGATAGCAGAGCTTTAAACTGGGCAAAAGATAGCTTGTCACTAAAAATGACTGAATATGGGTTGATTTCAGCTTTTGAATGCAAATCTGGCTTGAGAGTAGAGTTTGTATGTTTGTTTGATTGGTTGAGTGTCCTTGTCTCTAGGGCCTCTTCCTCCTTTTATAGGCAAATTAGCCCGACTGCTGTGGCTTTGCTCTTACCCGAAAGCATCTGAAGGGTAGTGAGTCATCAACTTTTTACTTGGAATGCCACTAGAAAGTGTTCTTTGGCTGGTAGTAGGTTAGTCTTTGTCACTTGTTACTTCAGTGGTAAGCACGTGGCTTGTATCTTGGCTAAGAAGGCTTCACTTTACCTTTGGGCTTGGTGTTGAGCTTCGGGCAAGTCCCTTTTAGTTGGCATTCTTGGCTTTCCTTCATCTAGATTCAGTGTTCAAATATTAACCCAAACACTAAGCTTCCTTTTTAATTTGACCATCAATTCAGTGTGTGACCCTTTACCAATTTCATTTTATAATTTCCCAACAGATAAGAACAGATGTAAGTGTTTCCACATCTCTACTCTTTTTCGGACAGCCCTACCTAACACAAAAATATGATACCTTTGTATACATGACCATTAGGTAATAACCTTACATATATGACCATCTTTATTGTAAATCCGAACATATATGACTATAATCAATATAACATATTCCAATTGAAGACGCCGTCACCATTTTACCACCACCATATGGTCCTAAATTTCTAAGAAGACATGAATCAATATCACCATGATAAAAAAAAAAAAAAAAAAAATATATATATACAAATGGCGCGGATTCAGATCGATACAATACATAAACACTCTGTCCCGAACCCGACCTATTAAGGTCAAATTCCCGAAAATACCCAAATTCGCAGGGAAAATTATCATCCCAAGATATGATCAATACTTAATTGTGCTCCTTGCGCTTTTGTCATAGACCTTGATATCTCGAAGGTTGTGTGGTTGCACTGGCCTTGCGTTCGCCTCCGCATACTGCATCAATCAATTTAAAAACATGAAACAAGATTTTGGTTATTTTCAATGGTTTTTTTTTTTTTTTTTTTATTTTTTTATTTTTTTTGGGGTTTGGGGGTGGGTTTGAACAACTACTTACATCATGCACAGCCAATCGAAATAGATTTACTTGATCCCTTGAGACTGTATGTATCTGTGAAGAAATTAATCAAATATGGTAAAGGGTTACATACTTTCATTTTAGTGAGAAAATAAAGGTATTAGCGTATTAATTGATTATTAAGGAGTATTTTGATAACTATTTTGTTTGCAATTTTTTGTTTGAAAACTGAAAATGAAATTGTTATCAAACTGCTCCTAAATTACCTTTTTATTGATGGTCCAAATAACGCCTTCAGTGCAAGGAGGAACAGTGAGTGAACCCATGTATCTGTAATAGGATTTCCCACGAATTTTGATTTCTCTAGGATCAATAATGCCCATGCTTCTCTCTTCCATTTGATCAATCATCGATTCTACATCCTTCATCAACTGTAATTAATTCACAGCTTGCAACATGTTAGGGTCATATGGTATTTTCATAAGGCTTTTTAGCCAAAATGGTTTTTGATATTTGCATAACACCTCACGTTAATTTTTGAGATTTGAAATCGATTGCATTGGTCTTTGAGTTTGTTTACATTCAATCATTTTAATCTTTCTATGAAAAACTCCATAAATAAGAATAAAATGACAAAAATATCCTCAATTTTGATCAACATTTTGACCTATTGTTTATTAAATTGAGGGTGATCTCATCATTTTTATCCTTATTTAACATAATTTTTCACCTGGTGCACAATCTCAGGGACCACTTCAATGGATTTCAAATCTCATGGACCAAAATGAAAAGTTATACAAATCTCAAAGATTATTTTGACTAAAATGTCTTTCGATAATATTAGTTGTTGTGGAGCCAGGATTTGATTGAAAGATCATTATGGTGTGCTACCTTTTTTATTTTTTATTTTTTTATTTTTTTTTGTCGTCCTTATGGTGTCTTTGCGGTAGTTTCCTAAGTTACATAATTTAATAAAATTCATGAATTGAGTTATTTCTTTTGTTAGTTGGATGTGGGTACTTCATATATAGTCAAGAAATTATATTCCACTATTACGTTTGACATGTCTTATGTACGCTCTTATTGTTCAGAGATGCAACATTTTTACATACATTTTGGCGCACATTTTTGTGAGATCTACTCTGTAATATACAAGTATACATATTACATACATTTTGGTGCACATTTTTGTGAGATCTATTCCGTAATATACATGTATACATATTATATATATATGTTTAGGATTCGAGGACATACGTTTATAACGCACATTTCAACACACATTTTGTAGGGTTCACTCCATAATGTATTTCAACGATGCAAACTCTTCTATCTTTTATGTCTTCCCTTAAGTAACATCTCTACCAATAATCATCCAAATTTGAAGCCATATAACCGTTGGATTAAATTTAGTGTTTCTTTGTAGAATTGAATCTATTCATTTTTTTACCACAAATGAATGTCTTAACGGTTTGCGATTTGTCTAATTTTATATAACGGTGATCTATGAAAGATGAATTGAAATATAAACGGTTTGGATCCTTGAAAAAAATTACAGAATGGAAGCCACAAAAACGTGTGTCCTAAGATATATATATATATATATATATATATATATATTGGGTGGATCCAGAGATACACATTTTGAAGCCTATTTTCTAGGGCTCACTTTATAATGTATTTCAATTATCTGAAAACTGTCTATATTTTCGTATTTTATTCATAGATCATCCTTACAAAAAATTAGACAAATCTAAAACTATTAAGACATTCATTTGTAGTGACGAAAATAGATGAATACGGTGCTACAAAGAAACACTAAATTTAATCGATTTGTTATATGGTTTAGGATTTGGATGATTTTTGGTAGATATGATTTTTGAAGTAAGACATAAAAGATAGATGGTTGAATCGTTGAAATACATTACGGAGTGGGTTGCACAAAACATGTTTGTCGAAATGCATGTATAATTTCCAACAATGCATGTGTGTTTAAAGCGTATGTACTGGAACCTAAACCCATCTTTATATATATATATATTACGTGGGCGGATCTGTGATATTACTTTTTTTACATAATTTTTGACACATGTTTTGTGAGACTCACTCTATAATATATTTTAACGATTCGAACAATTTATCTTTTAGAACATCATTCATATATATATATTAATATATATTACGTGGACGGATCTGTGATATTACTTTTTTTACACAATTTTTGACACACGTTTTTGTGAGACCCACTCCATAATGTATTTTAACGATTCGAACAATTTATCTTTTAGAACATCATTCATAGATAATCTTTGTAAAAAATTAGACAAACTCGAAATCATTAAAACATTCATTTGTAGTGAAGAAAAAAGATACAGTTCTACAAGAAATCCTAAACCGTATTCAACAATCATATGGTTTTAGATTTGGGTGATTTTTGGGAGACATAATCTTTGAAGTAAGACATTAAGATAAACAATTAGATCGTTGAAATACATCGTAAAATGGACCTCACAAAAACATGCATAAAAAGGTGTGTCAAAAGCTTATATCCTCGGATCCTAAACCCATATATATATATATATATATTATATTAACCATGGTTAAGCCAAAGATCTAATTGTTAACCATGATTAAGCCAAAGAACACATTGATACTCACCTCTTTAACATGGTGAGCAAATTAGGACACTTGAGTTTAGTTGAGGACGTACCGTAGAAAGGAAAGAATCTGCACGACCGAACTTGTAGAGAACTGCAGTGACAGCGATCTTGTTTGCTACGTTGGGATCGGGGCTTAGATGAACCAAGTGGAGCTCCATGTCATATACTCTGCCGTTGATGGAATGCTCCGCTGGGGCATGCCAGTGACATTGTTTTAGCGGATACTCAGTACCATTTATCTTAATTGTTCCAGCGTCGTCCACCCATTCAACCTGCAAATACACAGATAATAATTAAGTTGATAATCTTTTCTTTGTAATTCTTCTAGTTTCAACTGTTCGTTTTCTAGAAGAGAGAAAATGAAAAGTTATTTTAATTTATAAGTTTTGTTCTTTTCATTGTCCTTCATTTCTCCACCACCCTCCCTCCACCACTTATATATGTATGTATGCACATAATTAGAGATGGCAATATATTCGTTAAACCTGATAACCGTTCGAATGGGAAGAATTTAGGAATGAAAATTCATTTATGTTTTGGATATGGTTTTAGGGTTGCCAATCCGTATCCGGCCCCGAATCTGCCCCAATATAATATATATGTATGTATATTCGTCAAGTATTGAAATTATTTGATAATTTGTTTTGTTTTTCTCCTGTAGTGGCTGTTGTATTTGCTTTTGTCATTGCTTTCATTTTTTTATGGGATCAATTTGTCTTAATTTTCGTGGTTATGAGAATGGCTATGACATTTGTGTTCCCAAACTAAACTGTTGTCATCCCTATACGTATGTAAGATGAATATAAATCTATGAACAATGAACTGAAGTTGATGAAGCTTATTAGCAATATACACAATATCAGAATAATAATGTTATTTAGACATATAAAAATGATACATTTGTTGACAATGAAAAGGTTTGTTTTGCTCAGTCACTAGTACTAGAGTTTTAGTGATATTTTTTCTGTACTTGTAAGAAGAAACTTGTTTTTTTATTCATGTGGATGGTGATTTTGATACCAAATTATTATAGGCAGTCCATTGAATAATCTATCTCAAATCTCATATTTTATTGTTAAATATTGTTGTGTATCAAAACTAAATAAATAAATAAAATAACATTACCGAAATATCATGGCCTCTGTTCTTGATAGTTGCATTACGAGGTCTGTAGTTGGTCTTGAGCTTCCCTAAGTTTGGGAATAATGTAACCCTGTGATTTGATAAATCTATTGGAGATTGCATGCTCCCGCTGTTACACGCCGCCCATTCCTCCTTAATCTCCCCCCAATGCTTTGGCCCCTTTCCACCCTCTTGAAGATAATCAAACTCTCTTTCATCCTCTGCAATACATATGCAGTAAATGCATATGATGATTTTTTTTTCTTTAAAAACAAAGGAAAAATAAATAAAAACATGTTGTGGGATTGTGCTTACTTACCGACTTCTTGAGCTGTGAGTGATCTGGAATACGCGAGTAGAACTAAAAAGAAAAGAAAACAAGAAATTGAGATGGGTTTGCTTCGACGGGGCTCCATGTTTATCGCAAGCAGATCGGAGATTATTAGCAGCTGTTGGCACTACCTAGCTCGCAAGTGTAAGAATATATGGCGAGAGTAGGTTTATATATAAACATGGATGAGTTCCGTACCGTACGTAGTTGATAGAAACAGAAATTTAAATTGTACACAATTTTATCAATAAAAAAAACCAAGGAGAAGGCATACGTATCAGAAATTAGTGGTTGATTGTTTCGGAAATTAGTGCCTTACTACGATCAAATTCTTTCTTATTTAAGGTAATTATCGCTTGTAATAAAAAAAAAAAAACGTATTAAGACAAACTGTTATTTACTTAAAGAGTAGATAACCTAACATGCAACTGGATAAAGTTCTACTAAATAATCTGATTCCGGAAAATTGTGAATTGAAAAGTTAACATTTAATTGTGAACCATAACTAATTATAAAAATACCAAAATGAAGTTACAGCCAACCAAGAAAATACACACAACCAAAGTTGGCATCGTTTTCTCTTATTGATGCTAACATTAACTCATAAGTTGACATTTGTTATAAACATATGTAAACTATAATCCTGTTGGATTTGATTATAAAGAAGAAGCTCTTAAGGTCCAATTATTCTGTTCAACTATTGTTTGTAGAAATAAGTAAATGGTTAGTTGAGGAGGTGGGACAAAAATCCTTTGTCGTTTATCAAAATGTCTTCGTCAAGGTACCGTGGCATCATAGTTGTTTGGACTTTTATCTACCGTACACATGGTTCACCACAAATAAAAAATAAAACTAAAAAAACATAGCGTGCATATGCAGAGCATCGTACTTGCAACACATAGATTATAACGTTGACTTCAAAAGCCATTCACACAGCCCGACACACGATTCGTAAAAGCTGACGAAATACTAGAGCAATATTAAAGAGATTAAATTTTTTAAATTAAATTTATAAATAAAATAATATGATTGTAGTTTAGATTTTCAATTAAATATTGATTAACGTGTTTATTTTTTTATTAGTAATACATTATTTGAATTGCAATTTAATTTAAAAAATTTGATCTTCATAATATTTCCTTCACCTGTTTTGCCATTACTCAGGAACTAGCAGCCTAATGGTAACTACTAATACTGTAAATGGTAATTGTCTTAGTGGCTTCCTAAAAGTGCAACAGATCAGCCACTTGCTGACTTGCTATGTAACTAAGAACAGAGGATCCTATAAATAGAGAGATTTTTCAATGTGATCAGAACACGAGATGATACACTACATGTTACTGTACAAATGGTAAGATATATATGTTAAAAAGTTAATAACTTAAATATTAAAATTTTCCACTACTTATATAAAAACAAGAGGTGGTACCCACTCGTATTTCGGTCACAATGAAAAATTTCTCCTGTAAATGAGGGATGGCGTTTCCATAATGAATGCTTAATGTTTTGGCCAAACATGTAGACATAGGTTAGATTTTTAGTGCGGGAATGAAATTGATGGTTCGGTATATATTGTGGCCTATATATAATTGAGGGGTGCGGCATAGAGAGAAAGAGAGTAGAGAATAGGCTTGAGGAATTGTGTATTAATTCCTCAGTCCTTGTACCTTTATTTATAGTAATAAGGAGGAGAGAGACTTGCTCTTCAGGTAATACAAAGTCTATTAGGAAAGATATTCTAAATCCCAAGGGATTCCTAATCTATCTCTACTTAGGATTTACACAATCACAATATTGATATGAACATATGTCACAACACTCTCCCTTCGTAGTGTGCAAATACTTAAGTAGATGGCGCATCAGGTCTTCAAGCAAATGTAGAAGCAGTTGATGAAGTTGTCTTATCTAGTCGGCACAATTAGCGAATGCGAGTCTCAAAACAAACGGAAGAATGCATGGGTGGTAAAACTCACAAAATCTCAGTATGGCAAAACCCAAGGTGGGACAAAAGGCCATAGTCAAGGGAGAAATCGTGAGAAGTTGCATTAAGTCAAAACTATATGTCTTTAGGATGCAAGTAGAATGTACATAAGGGTATGACCAACCCAGGATGGGTGCCTCGACAAAACCTAGTCAGGTAGCAAAAACCCAGTAGGAAAAATGCTCCTAATCATAGGGAAAAATAGTACATTAAGGTCAAGTAAGTATACTTCTGGATACTCCTCCTGAGTTTGACAAAACTTCCAAATGAAACTACAAGCATCTCAAGTGAGAAAGTTACGCATACCAATTCCTCGAATAAGCTTCTGGAAGGTAGACTTCGACAGTAACGTTATGTAGAGGTCGGCAAGGTTGTTTGGGATTGGACTGCTTGACTTTAATCTTTTGATGCTCATGCTGATGTATACACAATATGCTTGGTGTTGACTTGTTCGATGTATCATGATATGGTCGATACATACGGTGTTGTCTCCATGGATCTTATTGGGACTTAACGATGGATGAAAGTCGCAAGGATTTTGAATATGCTCCACAAGGGTTCTCGACCATATCTCTCACGTGATGAGATACAGCGAGTCTTGTAACGATTTAAAGGTTTCGCAACGAATGGTCTATCTAGTTAACCTCTAAGATATTGCGGTGTTCTTTAATGGTAAAGACATAACCATTCGGGAATGTACCTTGTGTAGTCAGATAGTTAGTCTGATTCAACGAATCCCATAAGGTAGGCATCATTCCAAAGATCAAGGGGATGTGATCTATTCTGAGATGCATAGGGATAGATAAGCCCAAATCTATAGTAACAAAAAAACGTCTTTAACACCAAATTTGGTGGTGGCGTGTAGGCGCAATGTTGCTTTATGCCAAAAGATTATCAGCACATAAGATGTTCAATCTATTTCATTTTTGAGTTAAGTACAACAAACGCCAATGGTACTTAGATATGGTTGCCTCATGTTCGAATATGGAACCTTGTGCTCCATACCTTTTGTAAAGGTCTCATTTGCATCTAGTATACAGATGATCAAGGTATACTCAGACGTAACACCTTGTGGGTGTAGTTTAATTGGTGGACTAGAATACCATTAGAACTAGCTTGAAACTTCAGGTCGAGGTAATGTCGAGTTCCCATGATCATTCTTCTTAAAGTCTAACTTTAGGTGTGAGTCAATTTTCTCAACTTTAGCAATTTCAAATTTTGTACACGCAGGGGCATATATCCCTAACTGATCAAATATTCACTTAGACGGGTATACTACATCCGCCCAGATAGTTTTGCATCCGCAAAGTGAAGGCCTCATCAAAACCGAGAAGGTGTTTTTGTGGTCTAGAACTATTGGAATCAGTACATGTAAGTCATTTGGAAACTCCATGTAAGTTTCGTATTAGGATCCCATCTACAACCATGTTTATAATGCTGCAATCAATCACCTGACATATGAGAGAAGCCTTGCACCATAAGGCATCATTCACACTATTTCATTCATCTCATTCTCATAGATTGATTCTTCTAGTTGATCAATCAATTCTACGTTGACATTAATCAATGAAATGCGGTTCGTTATCGTTGCTTTTCATTTATGTCGGTAGTTACCATATAAATGAAACATCATCTATGATAATCTCATTCCAATTCTATATCTCATCCAAACTAGTATACTAGACCAAGAACTTCAAGCCTCGGGAGTAATCTGGATTTAATCTCATGAGATGAAAAAGATTGAGACAGTGATCGAAGGGCGGATTTGCTCATGCATGTTCCTCCAATTTTTGGGTAAGTTAATCCTCAAATTTACTGATCTGCCACACTTCTAGCGTAGGACAGATTGATTGGCGAGCTGCCAATGTACATGGGTCGGCCACAGTAGTGGCGTTCCTGCTTTCGGGACAAAAGTCCATCGTACATTTGGTACATTTATCTTTGCAAGCATATTTGCAGCTGGTATATGTGATCTCGTCACTTTTTACTAGATCAGAGAAAGTGTCTAGTTATACTCTGACGATTTAGATTGGGATCGAGATAAGACATAGTGGGGACGTCCACAATAATTTGTGTCGTTCTTTTAGGAACGTTGACGTTCTTATCTTCCCCTAACGGCGGGAAAACTATCTCATAAAAGTGACAATCCGTAAAACAAGCGATAAAGAGATCGCTTGTCAAAAGGTTCTAAGTAACGAATGTTAGAAGGAGAATCATAATTGACATAGAAATCCATCCTTCCATGAGGACCCTTTTTTTTTTTTTTTTTGTATGTAAGGGTGACGCAAAATGGTACATAGACCGCACGACTAAAGACGCGCAAATGCAATATGTCAGGTTTGTATCTAGTAACCAACTGACACGTGCTTTATAAAGTTGGGTCGTGACGGGCCTCAGGCGGACCAACATGGTTGCTTGCAATATTGTATGGCCCCAAATAAAGATCGAGAATTTGGTATGTATGACTAATTGATCCCGCAATCATTTGAAGGTGTTTAATGACTACTTCTGCTAGGTCGTTTGGGGTATGAACATGGGGTACTGGATGTTTAACTTCAAAACCAAACCGACATGCAATATCCATCGAAAGTTTTCGATGTAAATTCTCCAACTTATCTAATTAAATAGGTTTGATCAAATAATCAGGGTGGTAACTCTTGAGTTGTTAATCTGAGCCACCAGTGTGGATAATGTAGCTTATGGACAACAGCCACACGTGTGACTGATAGGAGCATATTTATGCGACTTTGTTAGCTTGTTTCTTTTCATTTAGTAAGTTAGTTTCTATTTATTAGAGTGTTTTAAGCTATTTTCGTGTGTTTGTAGGTCCAAATGGCAAAAGTGGCAAGAAAAGGCAATTTGGAGCATTTTAGAGCAGTTTTGGACTTGGAATGGATAGCATATGCATGGAGTGAGGTGGATGGATGTTTTTGAAGATAAAAAGAGGCTAGGAATGTGCTTAAGAGTTGAAGAAATTAATTCAAGACACAGATGATAAGAAATCACCTAAAAAGAAGGAACATTATCCAAAACCTTATCCAGTTCTATTTTATCTCAACCTTATCCAATCTTATCTTATCTGACATTATCCAAACTTATCTTATCCTATCCTACCTTATTTCCAGCTACATAGGGGAATTATTTTCACATTAGAACACCTAATATTAGAATTCTAGAAGCCTAAAAAGGTGCCGCATAAGCCTTATCCGTTCTCCTGAAAACTTGCCATCCTTTTTCCCCTTAGGAATGTGCTGCACCACCCTCTCCTTATTCTCCTTGGTTTCTGTCATGTAATTAGCCTTGTCCTTGTGGGATTGGAGTGTGTAATCCTTCTCCAACACAACCTTGCCGTGCTCCTTTAGCCCTATAAATACCCACATCTGCCAGATAATTGAGAGAGAGAGCTTAAGAGAGAATTTCAGAGAAAAATACAAAGAGTGCCGTAACAAGGAAGGAAGGAATAAGTAGAAGAGCTTGGTGCCGTGACCTGCAATCCAAAGCCTTTGGGATTGCTAGAGCGTTTCTAGGTGTATTCTATCCTTAGTTTTAGTCCAATGTTTGTTTTAATTTGGTTTTCAATTATGATGAACATGTGGAACTAATTTCGTTTTAGTTAAAGGTGAATTCAAAGCCATGAATATATGTGTGATATGAATTGATTTCCTCCAATTATTGTTTCGTAAAACATGAATGTGATTTACTTATCTGTTTGATTGATAACTTATTCTTGTATGTTGATTAAGGAGGCCTACTTAGTTTGCATGCATGAATCTGATGGTAAAATATAAGGGAATTTCACCTAATCGTTATGAACTTATATTTATAAGTAGTGGAAGTCACTAGCCATGATTGTGTTAAGTAAATCCATGGTAGGAGTATCATG